AATTGCAAGGCTACGGAGTTGAACATAAGCTCAACTCAAAAATTTGTGACGGCAGTTCAATGGCAATTATAAAATAAAATTTTTATAAGCGGTCATGGGTGTTAACTTCCTGGAATCGATCTTAGCTGAAATGAGTGCTAACAATGAGAATGATTGATTTGGCTCAGTGTGATGTGCTTATGGAGCAGTTATTCTGCTGTTATTGAAATGGACATTCGCCGAATTATTGCCGCAGAGTTGAGTGAGCATGATTGTCCATATGTTCTAAGAACCCTGCTCTAACAGTAAAAAACACCCTCTCCTCATGATGCTTTAAGTAGGGTATACTCTTGGCCAGAGAATGTACAGAGCGTCAAAATAAAAAATGGATCACCCTGAATAACTATTGATGTAAAGTATCGAATCTTCACATTATAGGACGCATTCTTAAATATATTCTTAAATATATTAGATATGGTTCTTGGGTATAACTCCAAAAAATTTGTATTTTGAAATTTTGATTTCTCAGGAACTATTGTACCGATTTTGCTCTAATACTATTGTATTTTGCCATTTAAAATTAAGTTCTTTAAAATGATGTAAAAATTGTATGTTTTTCAATTTAAAATTTTTTCGACTATTCTTAAATAAAATAATGAAAATTAATAAATATTTACTATAAGTTTATTTTTGCATGGAATTATCTTTTGGTAAACGAATTTTATATATCTGTGCAAAAAGTTTTCAATTAGTTTAAAAAGTTCTCGAGAAATGGTTAAATACGCAAAAATTAATATTAACAAGGGATCCGAACTTTGAACAGCTCTCCTGACTAAACTATTGGGATCATATTTCCCTGATTGTGGCCTACCCCATACATTTTGGAGGTCAGAAATCCGAATCCATTCAACAAAAGTTTATTTATTCAGAGAAAGTAAATTTTATGCATGATTTCGCTTTTTAAAATATCGTCTGCATAACGAATTAGAATATTTGAAGTCAATCCCTCAAACTATTAAGATTGAGTCCTAGACAGTGAAGATCCAAGCATCAGGATTAAAAGTTAATCAGGGTGGTCCGTTTATTAATTAATTTATTTTTTGCTCACTGTACGCTGTTTTTAATATGATTATTTCAAAATGTCGTGTGATAAGGTATTATAACTCGATTACTTTAAGAGAACATAGCTTTTTATTTTAAGCCTTCAATTTGGAAAAATAACCAACAGTAATATATTGATTGCTCTTTCCCAACTATAACATAATTGAAATCTTTAAATGCTGCATATAATTAAAATCTTTACAGGAAAAATATTTCCATTAAATAAATTAAAAGGCAAAATTTGTTTGTATCGATTTCATTTGCAATTGATTTTGACAATTGCTCTGACGAAAATATTAAAAATAATTTAATTTATGAAATATAGAATAACAACAATGATCTTTTACGATGTAGTTAAAATAGACAAAAAACAAAAATTAAAAATCTCTCTGCTAACCTTAAATTTATTAGTAGCTTTTCAAAGCATGTTAGAGTAAAACTATTCGATTCACTTAGGTAAAACATTCCCCTGTTTTGTTCATGTAAACAAATTGAATTTACTGCACAACTGAAGTGGAAAAAAAAGTTGGTTAAAACTATAAACTGCGTTTAACAGGTTTCTAAGTATTTGCTTCACGAACACTTCAGATTAATTTAAAACTTGGATGCGAATTTAAAGCAAATTTCATTTAATGAAGCTCAGTGCACTCGAAAACTTTTTTTCGGAATTAAAGTAACTTGGCTGTTATTATTCCTTTTCTTGCCAAACAAAAAAAGTCGTTAAATACGATGAGATTCAGAATGTAATGTATAGTGTGTTAATTTAGGCTTAAATGGCTTAAGGACGACCTCAAATATGCTAATTAATTAGTGCTGGGGAAATTTAAAGTTACGAAATCGGACGCAAACATGTGATTTTGCTAAGTAGACATATTTTTTCAATTCAATGGATTTAGATTTCTAGCCCTCAAAATATGTAAGGTAGCTGCAATCTGTTCAGTAGAGAGATCGAACGTTTGGGCACACTAATGGCAATTTTACTTTTCGTCATACTTCAAAAAATTTTCAAGCGAATTAAAAAATTTTTACACACAATCATGAAATTCTTTTATCCAAAGATAATTTCATACAAAAAAATATTTTTCGCTGTTATTCTTAGTTTATTTAATAATAGTAAAAATAAGAACTTCGAATCAGAGAGAGACGAATGTAAATTTGTAAACGAATTTTTACATTAACTTAAAGAAAATCATTTTATATGGCAAAATACAAAATCTGAACGAAAGCGGTCAAATAGTTCTAAATTTTCAAATTAAAAAAAAAAACATTCTAGTTTTAAATTTCGATTTCTATATCGATTGACCTCGATCAACAGCTTTATGCTAAATGATACTAAATAGAGCTAGTATTGGTTTTGATGTGGTAGATTTCTAAAAATGTGCTTTTCGTAATCTAACAACGTAAAGTAACGGAAAAAGATTAAAATAATAATGAATTAAAAAATGGAAATTACGTCCCCTTAAATATTTCTATACCTTTCAGTTTTGTGCATGATCTCGTTAATTTAATTAATATCCTTTTATTAACTTTTTTTTTAATCTCGTACAAAAAAATAGTATTCAGCTAACCTTTAATGCCGTTATTTTATCTCGTTTTCATCTGATAAAAATTATAATTTTGGTTAAACCTGCAAGATAAATTTCATTTTTAAAATACTCAAACATATTTATTTATTACTAAGACTTCTCTTTTTACAAAACTTAGTTCTTTATGCGTTTATATTACGTTTTTCATTTATAAAAACAAAATGATTCAACACTGTTTTAAGTTTTCTTAATTTACGAAAGATTAAGTTAAATAGGTTATCTTTTCATTTCGTTGCAAAAGTTGAATGATTGATCCTCCTTAAAAATAGATCTGGATACGTGCCAGGATATGATTTCCGTTCGAACTTCTGGACATCATACATTAACGACTTCTTTTTCTCATATCTGGAAAGGTATCTTTTCTTTTCGACCGTCCCTCTTTTTTATCACCTTATCCTTTCCTAGTGCATATATACATGCGAGGAGAGATTATTCGGTATCTTTCGTTTGTCTGTGGGGATGTCGGATGTGGACAGGACGTGACGTCCTTAAATCGACCACTAGAGATCCCGAGTCATTTTTTTTACTTCTTTTTTTGGATTGCAGGAAAAATATATCTTTTATATTTTGGACTCGTTATAACCTTGTCGCCAAATGTCCCGTTGCAAGCTCCCTCCTTCTCTTAGAATGAAAGCTGTTATTTATTTATTGTTTAAATTTACGTAGATACAATTTTTTTTAAATAATGTAAGTTATCATACATTATTATAGGTTTGAAAATTCGCATAAATTTAGATATCCATGAAAAGTAACAGGCATGTTTAGCATTTAATTGAATATTTTTATTTTACTTTATAACCGTCGTTGAACAGCAGGCACGATTTTTGGGTTTACATCTACTAATAACAAGCTTAACCCCGCCCCCGTAAGGGGGCATCCGGGGACACTCCGAAAGTTCGAAGTGCGCGCAACAGTTCAATTACATAAGCAAACATATTCAAAATTTTCAAGTTAGAGTTTTAACAAATACGACTACTAATCTCCAACTCCGTAGCCTTGTAATTTTGAACCCAATCCAGAAGACAGGGGAACTTCTTCATCAAGTATTAGGAGAACTTCACCTTCGTGGAGTAACTAATTCGCATTTCCGTTACACGGAGAGGAGGACTACGAGAACCTCCCACGGTTAACCCATGATCCGTCTAACACTGAGGATATTTCACGTCAGCACAGTGGTCGGTGCAAGCCCGATGCGGAATTCGTATTGATCAACCATCACCGGGATTCGAATCCGGTTCACCTCATTGGAAGGCAAACGCTCTAACCCCTGGGCCATCGCGGCTCTAATTGAATATTTTTTTTATAACCGTCGTTGAACAGCGGACCCGATTTCATGGGTATACGACTACTAGTGTTCAACCGCGTAGCCTTGTAATTTTGAACTCAATCCAGAAGACAAGGGAACTTCTGGATCGAGTACTGCGAGAAATTTGCCCTCGTGGAGAATTTTTTGATGGAGCTAACCCGTATTTGCGTTACGTGGAGAGGAAGAACATGAGAACCTCCCAAGGTTAGCCTGACGACAAGGGGACTCTAACCCATGATCCGTCTGCCACTGAGGGTAATTTACGTCAGTCCTGTGGTCGGTGCAAGCCGGATGCGGAATTCGTATCGACTGGGATTCGAATCCGGTTCACGTCATTGGAAGGCGAACGCTCTATCCCCTGAGCCATCGCGACTCTTAATTGAATATTTGCGGTTTACAGTATATTTTAACTTATGCATGTTTAGTATGTCTTAACAGATGTACTGGAACTGATGTCAGATGAGATTACGTAGCGACTGAAACAAAAAAATTGCAGGACTTGCAAATTTTCAGAAGAAATGTTCGAGAATTCATGAGGAATTATCAGGAAAGTTATCAGAAAAGTTCAAAAGTTCCGCAATCCAATAAGAAAATGGTATAGCGCGGCTTTCAGGAGAACTCTTCCAGACAACAGTCTCGTGTCATGGCGGGTACCATGGTTACGAGGAAAAGTCACTTCGAATAAGAGTGTGGGGTCAATAGTTTTGTCTAAATCTTGGCATAGGTCAGCGTGAGAAACAAATAGACACTTCCATTCCTCCATTGTCCCTGTCATTAAAAATGTGGTCTCGCTTGTTACCTTAGCAGCAGACAGGTTCAGACTTTCAGTCTGGAAGTGTTCTCCTCAAAGCCGCACAACAGTTAATTTTCAGTGGACTGGACTTCCAAAGGGGCGTGGCAGGAGTGACATATGGAGGGGCAGAACTCATCGTTATCGTGTAAGAGGTCCAAACAGATGAATCAATTCATAATTAGTAGACGAAAATAAAAAAATAAATAGTAAAATGAAAAGGAATCAACAGCATTAATGATATAAAACTTTATATATTTAATTTTTATTTTGATAAGTATACTTTCTATTGAATATATTTCCTGCTGTTTCACCCATTTTTCAACGATTTTCATTAACCGTTTTCTCTATCCAATTCATCTTGTGATTAATGTTCGCAAAAATCAATTTACTTTCATTTGGTTTGCATAGTTTTCCAAATCGGTACTTGTCCCCGGCGGCATTGTAGCTTGCGGATCCCATTAAACGCCATTTGTCTCTAAGAAAACAAACAAGAGGGCCACCACTATCTCCCTAAAAAAAGAGAAAGAATTTAAAATAAATCTATAATATACTAAAAAACATTCAAAATAAAGAAGTGAGGCTTCCTAGATATTTAATAATTATAGTAGGTTTCAGATTATGCTAACAGGGGAAGTACACATCTGCAAAATTCCTAGCAGTCATTTCTGCACCTGGGATAAAGTATGACTTATTAAAGTTCCAGTTTATTTACGTTTAAAGTAATAAAACTCTCCAGTTTCTGTTGAAAAGAGGTTAAAGTTCTCTTCCAGACAGACACGCGTGGATTTTTTCTCTAAATTTCTGTTCTTAGAAGATTGACAACTCTTTAGTATGCTGTATTCAATTTATAAATTAATATTTCTTGATTTAAATAATATTTAAAAAATTAATCTTTAAAAGAAAATATTAACAAATTCATAAATTTTCATTATTCTTTAATTTAAATACATTAAATAGTTTTTTTAAAAAAGAGTTACTTTTTTTTAATGTAACTATTAGTTTTTTTACTATGCAATAATTTAATTAAGTTTAATTAGAAAATGTAAGCAAAGTGTATGATTATGTGTATTATTATGATTCTAGTTACGCAATAAATAGTTACTTTCAATTTATTCCTCTTTCTTATCTTTTCATTAAGTAAATTAGTACTCTTTTTTTTACATTTTCATAATTAAATTTAATAAGATTTTAACAGAACAAAAAAAAATCAGTTTATCTGGAAAAAGAAAAAAAAATAAAGAAAAAAATAAAGAAAATTTAACATTTATAATTTTTTGTTATTAAAAATTTGAATTCATAAAACATTAAAATTCAGAAAAAAAGCTTATAAATTTAATAAAACCATAGAGGTGAAGTGTAAATACAGCGCGCACATCATGATAAGTTTTGTGCAAATGAATCCTATACAAATGAAATTTGTATAGGATTCATTCTTCATTCATAGGATTCATTCTTCTTTCTCTTAAAACATCATATAAATCCCTGTTATATCATTAATTCAGTCTAAAATTCAAATTTTTACTTTTAAAACTATCTTACAAAAAAAATATAAACAAATAAGAACACAGTTTATGAATGAATCCACAGGAACTGTAAAGTTTCGCCATTTTAACAGTAAAAGAACGGATATTAAATAGCGGATTTTAAATAAGCATTTTTGACCTAGGTGCAAAAATGATGGCTAATTTTTACCCTTTTCAGAGTTTTCAACCACACTACATTATTTAAACTGAATTTTGTTTTAATTAAAATCTTTCAAATGTCCCTTCTCTTGTAAGTAATTTGGACTCAGAATTGTTATTACCCGCTTTTGTGCATTGAAATTTACATTCAATTTTAATCTTCCCACTGAAAACCGGTAATGACGGTTTATTTATAAATTAAAACAAATAGTGATTACAAACTGTTTAAAAAATAACTAATTTGATATTTAATTAATGAAAAAAAATCAGAACTCATCATACCAAGCATGCGTCACTGCTGGGTTTTTCAACGCAAATCTGTGTATTTTCATGATGTGGACATTGCTCCGTGTCTTGGATGAATTGTATTGATTGTTTCAGTTCTTTGGAATATTCGGTAGCTGTAAAAATAAATCACAAAAAAAAGCATTTGAACTTACTTGATAAATCAAAAGTAAAAATTATCTGTAGTAACTAAAATATTTTATCACAACTATCCAAAACAGAATTACACTAGGCTTAAAAATAAGAATTTTTCAATCATTTTTTAACGACTGGGCTTACTAATGTTGGCTAGACCCAAGTGTTCAAGTATTTGAGGAATTTGGTAGTTTTTTTTTTAAAAATAAGTTAATGCATACAATTCTATAACCACTTATATTTAATCTGTTTGTTAACAGATTAAATGTATTTTTTCTTTATACATTTTAAATCATTCAGTTGCATGCATACATATGTACACACAAGACAATGGATTTGAAACCTTAAATTATTATTGTTTTGGAAGGTCTTTTGCCCGAAAAAAGACCGCATTGGTGAGATTATCAATTCTGCAAATTTCTGGAGTGTATTTATAGAAGAATAGATTGCTATCGTTATTGATTTTTCAGCATTTACTAAATATTTTTAATATCTTGATATCTGGATTCCGTGGTGGCCAAAAAAGAGGTTGGAAGTCATATCAATGTTCATTGAATCAATTTTGTACACTTTTGNATAATAATTGGAATTATTTTGTGGTGATCAGCATTATTGAAATCAATTTCTATATTAATTAACATTTGTGATAAAATACATAACATTTTAGAACAAAATAAGGATGTTGTACATGCAATGCATGGCTGTTAGCATTACCCGAGAAATACCACGCCATGCTGCATTTCTAATCGGGGAGTTTTGATTTTGGCAGTTCCCCTTGCCTACTGCCAATAGAAGTTTCAATTAAATTTTTTCTAAAAAATTTTTTTTCTGCAAAGCTCTAAGAAATGAACACTAAGCATTTAGAATTTCTTTGAAAACACAATTACAGATTTGGAATCTTGGAGCAATTACTGAAAGGCTGTCAAATGACTTAACTCTTGACAGGCCAACATAAAGTAATAATTAATTAATTCCTAATTGAGTTTGAATTAAATATTATCATGTTTTTAGGGCATGAATCTGAATTGAACAACCAGATAATGCTCCCTCTGGTTATTGTTTCCGTTTTTAAAAGCGCTATATGTTGAGCCACCTCATCTAGATTTGCCATGTGACATTTTTAACTGCAATCATTGGTCGATTTTCTAACGTTGCCATTCGGGGAGTTGTAATGAGGCTTTTTTTGGTGCCGTGTAAGAGAAATATATATATAGATTTTTAATATCTTGATATCTGGATTCCGTGGTGGCCAAAAAAGATGTTGGAAGTCATATCAATTTTGTACACTTTTGGTATGTAGACTGGCATTGTCGTCCGTGAAGTATCCGGCATATTCCAAATAAATATTTTACATTCAGGGGGAAAATTGTTTGCCATTATGTTCAGTTGTTGAATGGCTTTGTGTTGACCCTTCAGAAACCCAGAGACTATACTCCCATACCAGAAGAACATGTTTCGCTAAAAACTGACGTTTGTACCGTGCCAACAAGACAAGAGAAAACTTCCCAAGTTTCTAACTCATTGGCCAGTATGTGCAGCTTCCTTTAATGATCCACTTTTATGTATACGAATAGATCTCTTTATAGAGATAATTCTGCTTTTACTTACTTGGGGAAGTTTCGCCCCATCCAGTTGAATAGCACTTCCATCCAGACATTACTCCAAACCCCCACAGACATGCAGGTTGAACTCCATCGGTAAAATTAACTGGAGCATTCAGCTTTATCAGGGCAATGTCATTCCTGTAATTTGCAATCTTCAGCTAAGAAAGACATCAGGCATTTAAATTTTGTGCTAAGATAATTTTAAATTGGAAAGAAACCATGCATTCTATTGAAATATATTTTACATACAATTATAACAAATTAAATATTCAAAAGAAGGCCTTATTTTTCAGCTGTACTCTGTAGCGTAGCTATTACTACAATTATTCAATTCCAACTGACTATTATATAAAGCATGTTAACTCGATTCTGAAGAACCTTTAGATAGATGACGGTTGATATTGTCGGTAGTTTATCCACGCATTAGTGATCCGAGCGTGATCTAAACATGGCTACCTCAACAGAAATGGCCACTTCGATGTGAACACGCTTTTTTGAAGGAGGAAACACAGTGGACAGTTGACTTGCTATTTGTGACTGCAACATTGTCCTCCTCGGACTGTTGCTTCACAGTCTCTATCATACACAACGGGGGCCTGTATGCAATCAACTGCTAATAATGGCATAGGATAGACCACATATACAATCGTGATCTTAATACAGCTCTCTTTACAAGCTCTCAAAGTCCGGTGATCTTAAGACAGTTTCCCGGTGTCTCACAAAACAGCAATGAAACAACTAGTGATATTCATTCATCGAAATCCATCCCATGTAAAATTCTGGTGGGGACGTATTGTAGCTTAGCTACCACTACAATTATTCAAATCAAATTTACTAGTATATAAGACATGTTAACTCGATTTTCATCTGAGGAGCCTTTAAATAAATGATGATTGCATTGTTGTTGATAGTCTAGACCCACAACTCTCAACAAGACTGCTAAGAAAGATGGCATTTTTGAATTTGGTTTAGAGGTATAATTTTGTTTTAATACCAGTTTATGTGGCTCAGAGCTACATGTTCTGTTGGAAAAAAAATATCATATATATATATTTTAATTTCGTAGTTCATCAATGATCATATCATCAGTGTAAAAATTTAGCACTAAAAAATTAATGAAAAATATGACTTTTCGTTCTGAAAGCAGTAAAGTTGATGTCATTTTCATTTGAATGAAAAAAAATCAAATTTTTGTATTTTATAACTGAAAAACTATTCTTCACTCTGATATATCAGAAAAAGACTAAAAAACAATCTAAATAAATAATATGTGAAACATTTGCTCGTATGGTTTTTTTTCTGTGCAGAACGCAACTAATCGAAAATAATGTGTGTAAAGTAATGCCTGTAATTAAATCAATGCTTCAGTTGAAGGTGATTACAATAAATACGTAAGATTTTATGCTGATTTGAAACTGAGGAAAATTAAGATCATGTTGAAATTTTTGGCTTTCCTACTTTTGCATCACTTGATAAGTTTGTATGAATTCCTGCCGAAAACTCCCTTAATTCAATGAATCTAATAAACAAAAACTTACTTCTTCTCCATCCAAACCAGGATAGGCTATTATGGGATAAGGAATAATTCTTTCAGCCACGCGATTTACTTCGTATTCTGATTTGACAAATTGGTAATGACTGCCAAGGACAACTCTTACGTCATTAGGATGCTTGATACTGAAATAATAAAATAATAATAAAAATACTGAGATACAATCATGCAATTTAATTCAAGGGAGTCTAACGATAAACTTACTGATTTCAAAACTAAAATTCTTTGGAACAAAGGTTGATAAAGAAATCAAATAAACCGTATATCTTTAGTGAAATTATTCTCATATTAATTGGGAATTTAGTGGATAACCTGGTAGGAAGTGCGATGGACTCACCTTCACGTAAACAGGAGTTCGAATCCAGCAAGACGAAGACTCTCCATGTAGTAAATGGTGACTGGTGCAAGTTAGATCTGTCGGGTCACAAAATCCTCCATATCAAAATAACAAATTATACCTCTGGGGGTACGGAATTGGAGATTGATAGTTCGCTGATTCAGGTCAAACTTACGATCTGTAGATGAATGAATGGATGTATGAATGGGTTCACAGTATAAACGAGTGTGGCATCTAGGTGTGGCAGGATTCGAATTTTTGGCCATAGATGGCGCCACTGGAAAACAAGAACAATCGCATGCCCTCTTTTTTAATGGCTGACAACAACAACAGCAACCATTGATGACTAGAGTGATTAGTTCTAGCGTGAAAGGAGATTGTCATTACCAGGTTAGGAGGTTAAAACCAGAATTTTATTGAACAACGTATGCTTCTGGTACTGGAATATCTTGGGTTATATTATTGTTCTGCGGCATTTGTATTCGTTTCAAGAACAGAATTGGCAAATTTTGTCACTAAATTCCTAAATTTTTCATCTAAAATTTTTACAACTTTCACAATAAACATACCATTTGTCTAATTCTTTTGGGGTTTGTTTCCTTCTTTGCCGTTTCTTTCTGAGATTTTAAATTTTTGAAATCTAAACACCCAGTAAATAGTTATAGACGTAGAGAAAAATAAGTTTGCTTCTGGATTGTAGTCATTTGTAAATTTTTTTACAGTTGCTACTTAGATAGACAATTCTAAACCATTAAACAAAGGTAATAATACTTTTTTGAACCCTTTTTAAACTATTATAAACGTTACACGAAGATGAAAAAAATACAATATGCAAATGGTTAAAATAGTTAATACTTTGTGTATATATGTTATCATGAATGACCGAAATCTAAAGAAATGTCGACTTTAAATAATAAAATGCAAATGTTGTGTATTTAAGTAGAAGAAAAATAGCGATTGGGGGGAGACAGGCAAATACTTTTTTAATCTTCGCATGTTATATTACCTTTCGCCAATGGCATCCTTGAATTTTGCCCAATAGACCAATAGTTATAGAGGTAAATATTATTACCGGTGTTTTTCTGAAGTTAGTCAAATTCTATGATCCGAAATTTGCAAAGTATCCCACTATCTAATTTCTTCAGTTCGAAGTTACTTCCATCGAAATTATTTAATTATTGTTTTGACCACCATTATTTGACCAACAATGCTCAATCAATGTTTTTTTCAAATGTATGTGCTTTATTTTTTATGGTCTATATGCAGGGTTTCATCCCAATTAGAAATAAAAATATTATTCTTAAAATTATATAATAAGGAAGCATTTGATTATAGAAAAAAATAGATGCAAATTCACGCGACAGGGCATAAATACTTGGTTTCAGAATTCATGGGTTCATTTCAGATAGCACTGTAAGTCCTTTCAATCTTTTTTTCGTTGTGTTTTAATGCATGCAACAACTTAAGAACTGATGCATGCTACAACTTATCTACAAGAGAAATTAAATATAAAAAAAACAATTTTAAATTTCTAAGCAAGTTTGAGGCGTAATAAAATCTTACGGGGGCAAACGTTTTCCGCTCCAAACTAAGTATTGGAAGAGAAAGCTTTTATGCAACTGTTTTTTAAACTTTAGTGCGTTTTAAATTCATTAAATGCTTTTCTTCTTCTTAATGATCGACTTATAACAGTAAAAAATGCGACATCCTAGTTTTATTGTTGTTGTTGTTGTAGTTCATTTACGTCGCACTAGAGCTGTACAATGGGCTATTGGCGACGGTCTGGGAAACATCCCTGAGGATGATCCGAAGACATGCCATCACAATTTTGATCCTCTGCAGAGGGGATGGCACCCACGCTTCGGTAGCCCAACGACCTGCACGCGAAGTCGAGCACTTTACGGTAGCACAGTTTTACGAGGACCAATACCGCACACCCTCGGTCCCTACGCAGACTGATCCAAGTGGTCACCCAACCGCACACTGACCGCAGCCAGTGATGCTTGACTTCGGTGATCTGCTGGGAACCGTGTCTTAACGATCAGTCCACTGCGGGACCATCCTAGTTTTAATTCACCCAAATAAATTATTCAGAATCATAAATGCAAGTTAGAAAAGCTTTTTTCCTAATGAATCATAATTTCTATGCGTGAAGTATATTTCAAACGTTTTTAATTTTTAAGCATTTAGACAATTTTAGAGTCATTATATCGCGGGAAAAACCATTCATGGAAAATTTTGTCTCAACTATATTGATATTACAAAATTTCCAATTTAGAGAAAAAAATTTGAAATTTAGAGTTTCAATAAATCTAGAGTAAACTATGAAGTTTTTATCTTCGCAAGATTGCTTTCTGATTGCATCATCTTGAGTAATTCTTTCATAATTTGTTTGCATTTTGACAATTTGAAACATTTTTTCAGCATTTTAAACTTTATTCTTTTCTCCTTGTTTACCAGAACTAAGATTTTTCTGTACTTAAAATTTTAAATTAACTTTTATAGGTAGTGCGCTGCTAACAACCGACTCATCCCCGTAGGAGGCAGGAATACTACTGACCCGAAGTCCGTGCTCGTTTCTGCTTCAGGAAAAAGAGTAGGACACTTAGAAGGGAAGGCTTGCTCTCAATTAGATGGGAACACTGGCAGTAGATGGAAAGATCAGTGATTTGGTCCCCAGGGGAAACCCTGTGAGTGTGGCTCACGGAAAACAATTTTTTTTTATAACCGTCGTTGAACAGCTGACCCAATTTACGGGCTTACGACTACTAATGTTCAACTCCGTATCCTTGTTATTTTGAACCCAATCCAGAAGACAAGGGAACACCTGGATATACAAGTATTGGGGGAAATTTGCCTTCGTGGAGGACTTTTTGATGGAACTAATCCTCATTTTCATGCAGAGGAAGATCACGAGAACCTCCCACAGTTAGAATGGCGGCAAAGGGACTCTAACCCATGATCCGTCTACCACTGAGGATATTTCATGTCAGTACATTGGTCGGTGCAAGTCGGATGTGGAATTCGTATCACCCAGCGATTACTGTGATTCGAACCCAGCTCACTTCATTGGAAAGCGAACGCTATATCCCCTGAGCCACTGCAAATCAAAAAAACAGCAAATAAATGGCGGAAATAAGTTTAAATTAGAAGGTCATAAATTAGTTGGTAACTAAAGTTACTTATAAGCTAAATATGGGGAATCTAGGTTTGTTTCCATTGACCCGTACATATGTAGGTAAAAGAAAATTTGCTATGAAGGATTTCTTCCGTAATGTAGCGTTTACTTAAGCATCCATCTCAATAAAAGTAATAACATATTTACCTCGTGAAACAATGAGCTGCACTAATGACCCACTGTGGACTAATCAGTGTACCACCACAAAAGTGGCCGTTCGGCTCAATCTCTGAGTACTGCAAAGATACTTGCCATGGCCAACTGTTTGGAACAGCCCCCACTAATGTGTTGTTATCTACGTATAGGTTTTTGGGTTTTATAGGAGTATTTCCACAGTTATCATCAGATAACTTTGCAACAGGGAAATCTGCGAACAAATGAACATTTTATTAACACTTTCCAATAGCTTTCATTGACCGAATATTTGTAAAGACATTACTTTTCGATTGCGAATCACGAGAGATAGTTTTTCATNACTATCAAACTCACAAATGGACCAATCAGTGGTTAGCGCTGATTTCCAGCTGACAGCGTCCGGTCCTAAGAAACCAGGCCTTTAACGAGAGCTTAAAGTAATAATGTATATTCTCTCATTTCTGCAATTTTTAGAGAACTTATCATACTTTTTATCTTTCTATATTTGAAAGCTGATATCAAAATTTTCAGCGATAATTTGATAGCTGTTGGCAGACTGATTTCAAATTTAAAAAAGAAGTGCGACAGGAAAGACCATTTTTTACATTTTTTAAAGTACGTAATTTTGCATGGCAAAATACAAAATTTCAGAGAAATCTATTGAAATTTTCCTTAGAAATCGCATTTTAAAAAAGTCATATATTTAAAGTTTGATTTCACAAATTTTGCATTTCGCCATATAAAATTACGCACCATATAATTTTTACCATTAACCGACCGTTTGCTGCATAAAATTTTACAATTAAAAAATCTTTTGCCTATTATTAAATAAAATAATAAAAAATAATGAATATTTACAAAAATTTATTTTTTGTATGGAGTTCTTTTTGGATAAACAATTTTTATAATTGTGTTCAAAAATTTTTAATTCACTTAGAGAATTCTATCGTGATAGGGTGAAATAAGCTAAAAGTAAAATTGGCATTATGGGGTCCAAATTTTAGATCGCTCTCCAGACCAAACTATGAGAACCATATTTCCCAGATTGCGGCTACTTACAAAATGGTATTTTCAGAAACATTAATCCAATCGAAAAAAGATAGGTTAATTTAGAAAAAGTGCATTTTTAAGTCTTATTTCCTAGCTTAAAATATCGTCTGCACTAGTTAATTACCATATTTGAGGGCATCCCTTTGAAGCCTATTCAAGATGGTCCGCTTTTTCTCAACTGTACAAATTTTTGAGAATTTTCATTGATTTATGATTTTTGAGGAAATTTGAACTTCAGATCTGATCTAGCTCAATTTGATAGCTTTCATAGCAATCGATTTAATGAATAAAGTTAATCAAAATGTTATGATGGAAATTTTGATTTATCAGTGTCTTTGAAAATTACTCCCACTGAAATATCACATTTTATTTTACATTTTAATATTTTAATAAAGAGACGTGATTACTTATATGTTTCAGTCTTTCATATTCAATTGTGTAAGCGAATAAATTGTTTTATAATAACTTTTTTTCCATGCATTAAATGTTTATGTACGAAAATTGTTTTTAAACTTTCAACATTTGCCCTACCCTCCTATTTCAAACACATTAGTCTATTTTTCAAAGCCTAAAGATATGATTATTATTTGAATCGGAAAATGTCAAGCTTTTCCAGGCAGTTGGGGAGCATGGGCGGAAACCGGGTATTTAATACAACTATCTGCCCACTGATCCAAATTATGGAAGTGTAATACGAGCGTGAACTTGTAATGTCTTCGAATCATCATTAAGGATAGGTCTAAAATCCATTCCCAATAGCTAATTAGCTCTAGCTCTTGTAAGCGTGTACCATTAGCTCCAGTAAGACGTCATTTATGTATAAAAAAATAATATTTGTTTTCACTGCGAGTTAAAATAGAGCGTGTCGAAATAACTAATTCGAAATAACATTTTTTATCTAAATCTGTAACAACTATTGATATTAATTAATAATAATTATAGTAAGGCAACTTTTATATTCTTTGATATACTAAGGCAACTTACCACAGTTTTCTTCATCGGTACCATCTCCACAATCGTCGATACCATCGCATTTTCTTGAATTTTTGTAGCAATTTCGATTCCTGCAAACAGTTTGTCTTCTTCTGCATAGCTCTGAAAAATATTTTTATTTTTGATAATTGCTCTTCCAGGTAATACTAAAAATTAAGCAACCAAAACGTATAAAATGCAAATATAAAGAAGAAAATGTAAAGGTACTGAAACGAATCAACAAAAACTATTCTCATCAAAAATCAGCAACTCTCTGATGTTCCATAAATTGTTTATTTTTAATTTATCTCGTTACATGTTTTTTTTAAAATTAATGTTTTTGTTAGCCAGATATTTTTTACATATTTTCAGACTTTATATTAAGCTACATAGGGTTGATTCTTAATATATAAAGATTGATATTTTCTAAGAATATAACACAGATTATTTGCAAGAATTTCTACCATGAACCAATACATTACATTTTTAAAGTATCTCAGTTTGAGAAATTTTAAATTTTGATTTGTGCGTGTGTCATATACTAAGACTTGATGTTAATATATTGAAAAAAGCGGAGGAAAATGCTTTTGAATTATGTGGGGGGTAGTCTTAATTCACTAAAAAACTACATCATTTTGACCTATTTGTATTAAACATACAAATTTTGGGAAGCTTTCTTTAAACATTTTGCAGGGGAACAACATTAGTCAAAACTCTTCAAATTATGCAATACTCATCCTGAGTATTTGTTCTTAATGTATATCCGTATTTTGCAGCATATTTTTCAGAATTAAATTAGTGTAACAGATGTTTGATTTCAACCGAAGTGTGGACATACATATCCTTCGAAGTTTCGCTGGTTATCTGGCCTCGAGGGACGTTCAAAACGTTACGTCGCATTTAACGTTCCGTTTTATTAAGCTCTGTGTTTCGAAGCTCTGTCGTCAAGAAAAATAAAGAAGTTAAGTGCCTTAGACTTGAAGCAAAGAGATTATTTTAAACGATAGATAATCTTGCCATGAAGCGTTATCAGGTCTTTAGAATGTACAAATAACTTAAATAATTTAAAAGTTATTAAACTTTTTTTAGAAATTGCGAACTGAGATTTTACTTATTTAAAATGGTGTAATAAACGTATAAATACCTAACTGTTCAAATTTTTCTTGACTATTATTAAATAAAATAATAAAAAGTAGTAAATATTTACTAAAATTTATTTTTTGCATGGAATTATCTTTGGATAATTCTATGAAAATTTTATAATTGTGTGGAAATTTTTTTCGTTTTGCTCAAAAAAATCTTAAGATGTAGTGAATACGAGATATGATTCAGAAAAATTAATTTTAAGGAGACCAAACTTTGGATCATTTTCCTGACCAAACTATTGAGACTATATTTCCCAGATTGCGGCTACCTCCTATATTTCGGGGGTCAGAATTTCGAATCCGTCGAAAAAAGATATGTTTATTCACAAAGAGAGAGAGAGAGAGTACTTTTTGTGCTTGATTTCGTAACTTAAAATATCGTCTGCACTAATTAATTAGCATATCTGAGGTCACCCCTCCAACCATTAGGTGAACCTCGAAGGTGAAGCTTTGAACATTATATTCATGGTGGTCCATTTTGTTGGATCACTTTAATGTGTCAAGTTTGCTCTAAGCTTGAATTTCTTTGATTATAAAAAACTGAATTTATAAATTACGTGTTTAGAACTATAAATAAACTCAATGAGAAATGATCAAATGGACAAGCGCATAACGGAAAAAAAATATCTCCCCCATTATTGGTTTTTTTACCCTATGCTATAACCCACATTTATGCTTTGCTGGTTAAATTTTTTTAAATATTTTTTTTTGGATTTACTAAAGTAATCAGCCGATGACCACACAAATCATAGGAGGTAAAATAGCTTCCCATCAACTTTATAAAACTAATAAATTGGGTGGGAAGTATAATTATCTCTGTCTTATAAAGGGATAAATAGTTATAGAAAGATGATAATAAATTATTTTATTATATGTAAAAAATGAAGCTTGTTTATTTATTTATAATTGGCATAAAATTGTATTTGAATGTCATTCTAGGTCTTAAACTGATAAGGATCTCACTTAATAGTTTAAGACATTTTCAAATTTAGGAGCATTTACTTTAAAGATTAATGAAGTGTTGTAAACGTTAGGTTTGCAGTTGAACTCAGTGTCAAAACTATGTAGTTATATACACTAAATTGCATTTACACTCTATGTAAGTATGCTATCGTTGTATAAATATATTTTTAAAATATGTAACATTCATATTAATATACTAAAACAGAAAGAAATAGTGCATTCAAGTGTGCTGCATTCTAAGCCTAGTAGTAAAAATTGAATATTCGAACATTTGTTCTTCATAAAAAAAAGAATAGAGTACGTCTCTAAGAATCCACGTAATTCCTGTTAAGGAAAGGTGATGTTGCATGAATCATTTATAAAAAAGTTGCATCGAAATCATCACTGGAAGGGGATTCATCGGAATTTGAAAAAAAGTTGGATATGAAGTGTCATAACAAACCGAGAAAATGCACCAAAAGTGCAGAAAAGTATTCAGTGCTGAAGAATGCTTACAGGAAAGTTTAATCAACGAAAGTTAAGACAAAGTTCTAGTTAAAGATAAATTGTGTAATGAACTGAATTAGTTTAAAGTTAATATTTTGTGTGTATATGTTACCTAGAATGACCGAAATCACGAGAATGTCGACTTTCACCGGTGAATGTCAACAATCGCATAGTCGCCTTGGTGAATGTCTGAAATAGTTGTTACATCCGATTTGATATTAATTTATTCGTTGATATTATTATATTTATTTGATATTTTAATATCTGCTGAGGAGAGATTAGGAGAATACAGGTTAAATGCTTACCGATCAAATGTATACCGGGATTTTGCACTTACCAAAACCTAGTATGTATTTCGGATATTTACTAAAGTGACTACGTGATTTCCCGATACAAGGCAACAACCACCAACTTCGGTCCTTCATAGTAACATATGTATTTTTGTTTCAAAATAGAAAATACTGAAGTGAAAATGGTTGCCTTGATAAATAAGTGTAAGTCAGTTGTCTTAATTTCTGGTGTTTATGTACCTCCAATTTATTTTTGCAATGCACATGTGTTTCATTATTCGCTCGTCTTACCCATGCCTGGAGATGCTTCATACTGGATAACAAATCCTCTTCCATCCGAAGTCTTCGTTTGAAAAAGCACTTGTATTTCATTTTCATGAGAAAGAACCGGACGAGGAATATCATAACCACAAAACACACCCAAATTACCATCTTGTCCACTAAAGATGAGTCTATCTTTTTTACAAAGCTTTGAAGGTTTTATATCGAAGCCAGTAAATGTTATTTTTATCCTCTACAAAAATCAAAAACATGTCACCTATTTATGGTGGATAATTTAAAGTTTACAATTAATAAGGTTGATATTTAATTATATAATTATAATGATTTTAGAAAATTAAAATTTATTTAAAAAAAGAGAGAAATACATTTGCTTTAATTGGATTTGAATATGGTAAAAATATAGAGTAAAAAAGATGTTTTTAGTAAATTTATTAATAATAACATACTATTCAATCAATGTGTTTATATAGAACTTGATTAAAATAGTTAGATATCCATTTTTTTTTAAAAATCAATTGTTTAAAGAGTTTGTAGATTTACTTTTCGGACAAATAAATATTACAACAAATTCTTTTAATTCTATTCATTTAATTAAAAATGGTATTTAAATGAATATTTTTAGAAACATTAGAATTCCAAGTAATTAGTTAACTTACATTAAAATTAAAATCGTTTCTATTATCGTTATATATCAACAAATCAAATATCTTCTTCTATTTTAATACCTATTTCCAAAGAATTAAAATTAATATTATCATCATGTTTACGAAGCAAGATTAATTACTATATAAAATAAATATTATTAAACAAAATTATATAATCTTGTAAATTAAAGATAATTAAATCATCAATAAATCAAAATACAAATTTAAAATTATTAGCATAATTGTTTTCATAATGGTGTAAGAATAAGATAGCTAAGAGAGATGAAAAATTAGATCCTTGTGATATTTTATCAATTTGTATAAAAATATGTTTTCTATTGTAAAGTTAATTATTAAAAAGTCAAAAATTAATTAGTATATCTCAATAATCAAAATTGCAATTAAGGATATTTTTAAAATCATAGCAATAACACAAAAGATATGTACAATTACACACCCACCCACACACATATATATAGCACAATAAATGAACACAAAAATGACAAAAAGAAAAAAAGGGAAAAGCGAAGAAAATTAAGAAAATCATCAAGCTTTACTTACTGCTCATAAGCTGCAAATATACAAAACTCATAACATAACAGAATAATGAAATTACAGAATAATGAAAAAGAAAATTATTTAAGAAAAAATTCAATTAGAAACCAGAAAAAAGATTTATAATCCCTTCATCAGCTCACACGATTATATTCTCAAAAGGAGTGCCTTCTAATATTGTATCAATATGGCCAAGACAAATATATCAATACAATAGAGTGAGGAGCACTAAAAAACCTTTCTGTAACATAACAGAATATAACACATTAACCCCTTAACTATCGGTTAATTTTCAGGAAAACGGTCATAAAAATTCCTATTTTTTGGCTTTTGTATTTATATTACGTATTCGATCAGTGCTGAAATCTAGCTTAAAATAAACTATCTATAAGTTATCTTAAAAAATATCCTGGTACTGCGATCTGGTGTGTAAAATGAGAAATAAAATTTTTTCCGGGCAAAATATATGAATTAGTTTTATGAACACTCCAGCCCTTCAATATCACGGGTGCTAGAAATAGAGGGCGAAAACTCACCCCGTCATTTTCACGGGAGCGAGAAAGAAGGGGTTAAGCAATAAATATCACGTAAAAAACAGAATTTTTTTTATTTTGTTGTTGTTTGTTTTCCCGGTATTTTTTTAAGAATAATTTTCTTCTTCTCTTTTTTTCATTATTCTGTAATTTTTCTTTACATTTTGAGCTCATGTATGCATGCATATATATATATATATATATGACTACGTGAACCCATGGNTATATATATATAGGAACTTTACTTTTGGAACATCGGATGTGGACTGCTTTTTTGAGTATTCACCCACACAAATATTAACACCTATGACTAAAAAACACAAATTTTAATATCGCGATGCATTGTCCGAAGCATATCGCATTATTTGCCATATTCAGCTCGAAGTAAAATACAGGTTTAATTGCTATTAACATGTAGAAAAAATATTTAAAATGTTGCTTTTGATTCAAGATATAATTAATTTCCCTTGTCTCCTAATCCGCCCTCTACTCCCGCAATGCACTTTTATAAATAGCACGCTATATGAATATCGCTGTGATTAATTGGTTTGAGTAATTGCAACTAATATATTCACGGTAAAAGACGACATTTATTTTTGAGTGCTTGCTTGTATTTTACTTACTGAATAATAAAAATAAGATTTTATTTCAATTTTAAGAACAACAAATTGATTAGAACAATCGAAAAGGAAACAGCAAAGTAAGATAGAGTTAATTTTCAGCGAAAATTTAATAAAGTCTGTGTAGTCTGTTGAAAATATTTCCTTTCTTTTTCAAACTAATTAAAAATAAACTTTGATTAGCTTTGGAAATCCTTTCTAAATCAAAAATTGAGGGCAAATTTATTAAAATGAAGCAACATGAGGTGCTGATGTGTCGAAAAAGAGACAAAGAAAATATAATTTAGTTGAAAAGTTAGTAAAATTCAATTAAAATATTTCATTAATTTCAAGAATACTACTGAATTTAAAAATATGTTCAAGAAGAAATTATTATACAGTAAGCTTTTGGCGCAAACTTCAATAAACCTTTTTAGCTAAAGTTTATCCGCATAATAGTATCGATTTTAAATTTCTCTGTTAAAAAATCGTGAATGACAAAATTGAGCGAACATGGGATGGTTCTCTCTCAACGCAAACCAGGGTAGCAAGAGGAAAATGAACTCTACATCTTCTGGCAGTCTCTCTCCTTTACGAGTAGATTTAATTTTTTTCTCTTACATATTTCTATGGTATCGTGAGTATCGTGATGAATTTTTTATGAAAATGTTTAGTGCAAAATATGCTAACATTTATTTTATATTTTATTTTATAACCATCGTTGAAAAGCTGACCCAATTTTTGGGTATAAGACTACTAATGCTCAACTTACTTCGTATCCTGGTAATTTTGAACCCTATCCAGAAGACAAGAGAACTCCTGGATCAAGTATTGGGTGAAATTTTGTCTTCATGGTGGACTTTCTGATGGAACTAACCCACATTTGCGTTACGTGGTGAGGAAAACCGCGAAAACCTCCCATGGTTTACCCGACGGCAAGGGACTCTAACCCATGATTCATCCACCACTAAGGATATTTTACGTCAGCACTGTGGTCGGGCGATGCCGGTAGTAGAATTCGTATCCACCAGCCATCAACCGGGTTAACCTCATTGGAAGGCAAACGCTGTATCACCTGAACCATCGCTGCTCACGTATTGCATTAAGGGAAAAAAATATCGCTTTTATCTCAATAGCGCATTTGAGGGACAATAAACCTAAAAAACAAAATTGTCAAAATCAAATTGTGCACTTATTGATTATGAGATCCACTGAATTTCATTTTTATGGGTTTTTCGCCAAAATGGAACAATCTTTAACTGTTATAAATTTCTCTAAATTAAAAGAAATTACCTAAAATCTCTCTCTCTAAACTTAAATAAATGTAATGTGTGTGTATGTATGTCTGGACTCCTAAACCATCTACAGAAAGCGATGAAATATGATATACAGATAGTTTCAAGCACGAGGAAGGTCACTGTCAACATTAGAACATTCTGCGATAAATCGTTCAAGCAGGGTGAGCGAAAAATCTAATGGAATTTTCTGATTGGGTAAGCGTAAGTCATTGTTTTAAATTTAGCGAATCAATTTTCACATATTTTAAAAAAACATCAGTGATAAATGCTAACTTATAGCTTCATTTGATCGAAAAATAGTTTATTGCACGTATTTAAATATTTAATTATTTTATATTCGCTATGCCAGATGAATTCAATGAACATTACGTGGTAGCACGCGTGGTCTACCTCACAAAATTTGCACTTTGTCTGATACCACGTGCTTTTCTTTTATTTATATTAATTCTTTTAATCGTGTTTCGAAATAATTGCTTATTTAAAACAAACTGTAATGGAATTCGAGATCGCAAGGAACTATAGGGGGAGTTGTTCTATGAGACGAATACCTGCGATTTCTATATGAACCGTCATTCAGTTACTCTGGAAACGTCCTTAATGTAGCGTGTAGCATTGCAATTTTCCTTCTTTATTGTGGCTTATTAAATTTAGAAAAGAAAATTTTTTGATATTCGTTCTTATGCAAACGAAAACAAAATGGTATCTCTTTTTTCAGAGAAGGAACATCCAAAACACATCGGAAAAATATTTGCAAATAAACAGGAAAAAAATACGTATCTTCCTATTAGATTTAAAACCTAATGCCTGAGAAATAGTTTTACTAAATTTAATGATATAACCTGAAAGTCCTATTTAAACTTTCCATTCCATAGTTTTAAGAATCATATTATTTCAAACATTAAAATAAGCAAAAAGTATTCATAAGCCTCATAATTTTATTTATTTTATTTTGTAAAATAGGTTTTTTGACAAAAATTTTATCAAGAAATTTTAAGTTTCAATAAAAATCATTATTTAGAAACTAAAAAACGAAAAATGAAGAATGTTTACGAAGCGAAAAAAAAAAAAAAAAAAAAAAAAACAATTCCGAAAATTCATCACATTAAAATAAAAAACTTTTTTTTACTCATAATCAGACGTAGAAAACCATTCTACAGAAAATTATCATCAAATTATCCTGGGTATCATCTTTTGGATTCCCTGTTGCCTTGCTGTTTGCTGATTTTTGACGCCATTTTTAGTGCTACGAAAATGCGTCTTTGGGATTTGCAAAAAACAGAACAAGATGCAATTTTAATTTTTAAATAGCGAAATATTTTATCAAAATATTTTATAGCGAAATTTATAGCGAATATTTTAGAAATTTATAGCGAAATTTATATGGAATATTTTATAGCGAAATATTTTATCAAAAAACGAAAATGAACCAATTCCCATGGCATGAAACTTTATCTTGGTAAACGTACGTTTTGGAAATGTTAGTTCAGTTGGAATCTTATTTATTAGAGTTCGTATGGCGACAGCATCAGGTGAAAGAAAATAGAGATTGTTTTGAATCTATGTTAAACTCTATATCGGCCCATTTTCTACCGAAATTCGATTG